AAGGAAGGAAGGAAGGAAGGAAGGAAGGAAGGAAGGAAGGAAGGAAGGGAAGGAAGGAAAGAAGGAAGGGAGGAAGGAAGGAAAGAAGGAAGGGAGGAAGGAAAGAAGTGAGGGAGGGAGAGAGGGAGGGAGGAAGGAAGGAAGGATGAGAGGAAAGAAGGATTGTTGTCAGACTGTAACAGGTAGCTGGAATTAACATGACACATTCATTCACCAAACATTTACTGAAAACCTACTATGTATAAGGCATTGTCTAGGTGCTAAGGGAAGTACAAGGATGAATCCCATTCACAAGCTTCTTACAATTGAATATGGTGGTCCAGTCAGACTTATCAAGTGGTAAAAGGAGCAAGGAAAAGATTTTAGGGGAACTTCTCTGATTTGTATTGTATCTTGGAATTTTGGGTTGCAGAAATTTGGGTTGCACCATCTAATATCACTGTGAACTGCTCAAAGTCAAATTGTCTCATACAGTGGCAGAAACCGGAAACAAGAGATCATATTGGTGACTCTGAATTTAAATACCAGCTCTACATACAAAAACAGGTAAGTATGAGATGCTTTGAAATGTTTCTTTGTTTGTGCCACTTTTTACTTGTGACTCCTCTATGTAAATGTGCACCAGTGGTCTGAAGGAAATCCATGCTATTTTCATAGCACTGCTTTGGCAACAATATTGAATGCTGGGGCAAACCTGGCTGGTTATAGGGAAAGGCCAGCAGCCCTGTTGACCAACATAACAAACTGACTGAGAGCTGCCTAAGATAATGTTAGCTGTGAATGCAGTGAAGTGAATGATGTTTCACTCATTTTAGAGGAGATTCTATGAAGGAGAGAGAGAAAAGGGTTTGTTTTTGTTTTTGTTTTTGTTTTTTGTTTATTTGTTGCTTTGTCTCATGGACCCAGAAGACGTTTGATTTAACTCTAAAATTAAAAAGAACAAATCATGTTATTTTGACTATTATAAATATCTAAATTAACTACAAAGGACATATGAAGGAAGACATTATCTGCATCCAGAGAAAGAACTGATAAATAGAAGTATGTATAGAATTATTTTACATGTATATACATATTTGTGTCTAATGGTAGCCATCTCTAGGGTGGAGGGGGAAGGAAAAAAAGGGGAAAAAAAGAAATTTGCATGATAATTCTATTATATATTTAAATGGAATAACAAGTTATACATGATAGATTTGCTATTTCTACAAAACAGATTTGCAGTCTTTTTTTTATACTATGTTATGGAAATGTTTGTTTTATCTCATGAATTAAAAATAATAAATAAAATTTATAATAAATATATGAAATAGATAATAAAAATTATTAAAAATAAAATTAAAAACAATAGCTATCAATTCACATGTTTCTGGCTTTGTGGACGTTCTTATGGGAGGAGGAGGAAAAGATGATGTACTAAAGCCAGTTACCAACCAGCAATAGGTAGATGGTTTTTGTCATGCAGAAGTATCCCGGGGAAAGAGGAAGTCTTTATGAATTCAATTAAATATTCAACTTTGAAAGAAAGAGAAAAGGAGAGAAAGAAAGAAAGAAAGAAAGAGAGAGAGAGAGAGAGAGAGAGAGAGAGAGAAAGAAAGAAAGAAAGAAAGAAAGAAAGAAAGAAAGAAAGAAAGA